AGTATCTACCTCTTGGGACTTTTGTGAGGATTCACCAAGTGCTTATTACAGTAGCTAGGCATTAGTCAACACTCCATGTACTAGTATACTAGTTGCAGTTATTGCTACTGTTACTGGAGTGATAACAACACAGTAGCAACACTTGCCTCTTCCCACAGGGTTAGTGTTAGAGGTGAAATAAGGTAAATGCGAGGGGATTTGGATTTTGGCAGAAAGATGGCAAGTGTTTGTGTGTGCGTGCGCGTGTGTGCGTCTATTGCTTTTAAACGTGTAAGCAATTGGACATCTAAGTACAAATATGTTAGACAGTTGGAGCTTTATAGGGCAAGGCAGAGAAAGGAGGATCAGTGCTGGAGGTAAATTTTTAAATCACCATCACAGATGGTGTATGGGAGACTTACTCTGTACCAAGATTTAAACAACACCAGGTTGTTGCTGTCTCTTACATATGGTTCTTAGAGCTATTTGTTACATAAGCAGTAAGAAGCTTATACATTTTCCATTTTTAGTGGTTACACAGAATAATAGAGGAACTTATCAGCGCATATCTTATAAGTAACGGAGATTCATAGATTATTGAATACTTCTTGAGCTCTTTTACCATGTGTATAACTCTTAAGAGTTGGGGAATTCTGAATTATAAATTAGAGGATTATGCCATTTGGTGCTTGGATCTTGTGTGTGGATAAGGTATTCTTGGCATTCTAAATTAAATGCAACTTGTTTGAATTTACTTGTTAGGTAATACCTTGCCTTTAATATAATAGCTGCTCAGTAGAATATATATTTTTATATATTCAGTGTTTTTGTATACTTACAACTTTTCCTCTTTGGATATTAAAGCAACTTTTATGGGTTTTTGGTGTATGCTTTAAATTTATACACTAAGAACATACATGAGCATATTTTAATGATGATAGATTTCTTTAACTGTAAATCTGTATGTTACCTTTTTAAGTCATTCTATATCCTTCTACTCTCCAACCTGAAACACGTTCTCAGCATCTCAAAGTCCAGATTCATCTTGAACATTTGCTCTCCTGTCAGTCTTAAAGTTTATAGGAACAACTTTGGTGTCTTCTAAAGAGAATAATACCACACATGAATACTTATTTTTACTTTGTATACCCTAAGAGCATTATTACTGTCCATTATTTTATTTTATTAGGATCTTTTCCCCTTCCTGCTCTGTGGAACTACTTTAATTGTACTGCACATGCCCCTTCTCCATTCCCAACAGTGTTTTACCTTCTCAAAACTAAGAATTGTAAAAATTTTTATTAGTGGGCTCCTCTAAAAAGGTACAGTAGAACATATTTTTCCCTTCAGAGATATTCCATGTAGCTTCGGAGAATTCTTGGATATCTTGTTTTTGTTAACTTCAAAATTCTTCAATTCATTTACCTGATACAGAAAAGTAACTTTTCCTTCCTTAAGAACATAATAAAAAGCTTTTAAATGTACATATTAGCATAAACTCTACTTAAGCAAAATTATCAGAAGATTTTACCGGACGTTTTTTGGACACTTGCACATAAGAGAATCTTTTAACATGATACTACGTAAAACCCCTTATTTCACTAAAGCATGTGAGTGGCTTTGATAAACACTTTGAGGGACTCTTTTGAAATGCAGTGTTTTGGCCATCATTTCAACTCTACAGAAAATATGGTTCCATGATAAACTCAACAAAAAGCACATTGGCAGCAGTCCAGAAGCTGACTCACCAAGGAGTAATGATAGACGCTTTGAAGGGAATGGTCTATCCCAGGGTCCTATTTCAAAGCTTCATGCTATGATTACATCAAGTGAAAGGCAGCCAAGAAATCAAGATGAGATCTTGCAGTACCTCCTGGGAATAATGGTAGGAAGACTTCCATAGTAGTATGCAACTAAGGTTGGTGGGTTTTTTTCCTATCACTCTTGTAAAACTTGGGGATGGGAAACAAGGTGAGGGTTTAGAATAGTGGTTATTTTTGTGGGGCTGCAGTGCTGTTTCCTTGTTGGGCCTGAATGAGAATAGTCTTGTAGTGACTAAGGGTTAACTCAAGAAGCTCAATGCTGTATCAGTTTTCTAGAGCTCAGGGAATATACTTAGCTCAGTAGTAAGCACAAGTATCAAGTTCATGTCAGACACTGTAGCTACTGTTTCCTACTTGAACAAACCAGAAAAACCAAAGCAAGACCAGAATCAGTTCAGTTTTGAAGAACAGACCCTTTGCCTACTCGCATTGCACATTTCAGGAGTAAAAATTATACAAAGGTGGGCCTGGCTTCAGAACTGTGAAATAAGTAGTATTAACTCTGTTTTTGTGGATTAAAGTGATTGCCGTTCCATTTCTAAATTCCATTTCATAGCCTTAAGTTTTCCTAGGTGGCAGATTAATCTTTTATAATCACTACCAAAGATCACTTAATGTTGACTCTCTGTAGAAATAGTTTGCCCTTTTCATATTGTTGAAGGTTGTCTCAGATAAGAAAACACTTGAATAATCTAAAAATATTTTTCATAGATAAAACTTAGTGAATATGCCACAGGGATGAATTGACCCAATTTTTTTTTTTATTATTGTAGTACTTTCTATTTCTCAGTAAAAATTGTTGAACATGATAGTCCTTTCCTATTGAATATCGTGGAAGATGCTTTTAGCTGTTTGCTATAGTCTTTCAAGCATAATATTTAGGAATGAAAAGTTAGTTTTCAAAGTGCTGTCATTTAATATGAGCTTTCTCCAGAATATGCCTTTCAAAAGTTAAAAGTGTATTTCTTTTAAAAAAATATTTTTGATTTCAGAGAGGAAGGGAGAGAGAGAAATATCAATGATGAGAGAGAATCATTGATTGGCTTACTCCTACTGGGGACTGAGCCCCAAACCTGGGCATGTGCCCTGACCAGGAATTGAACCATGACCTTCTGGTTCATAGGTCAACACTCAACCACTGAGCCTTGCCAGCCGGGGCTGTATTTAATTCTTTATAATAAATAACTATACATTTGCTACTTGTTAAGAAATAGTGTCATTTTTCTCAGTTTAAGCTTGAAAGATAAGAAATTAGTAGAAAGTGAGCCTTTTTCTATGTCTTATCGGGTACCCAGGTAGTATTAAATTTAGGTCAGTTGTTTGAATTGCATTCTGAGTGTACATGCAGTTATGTAGAACAGAAACAGCTTGCATGGGACTGGAAGTACTGAAAAGATAAAAACTAGTTGGTAGCGAACTGCATTGTTAAACTGAGTGGTGGATCAGCAAGGACTTGTGGTTGCTGGGTTTGATTTGTAATACTCAATTGTTTTGAAATGATTAGCCCTGAAACAAAGTAATTTAAAACTTAGATATGGTAGGAAATTTCAGATTCCTTTAAAAAAAAAAAAAGTCTTTTAAAGAAGGACTCTTTTCTCCAGAGATATTTAGCTCCTTGAGTGCTGCATGAATCTTAGCCATTGCTATGGTGATTTTATACCCACCAAGAAGTTTCATTTTATTCTTTTGTTTCAGATTTGTGCCATTACTGAGTGAATTTTTTAAATGAGATTGCTCTGTTTGTTGCTAAACTATGATATATACAAGCCCACTAAATTGACCTATTCCTTTTTTCCCCTGTGAGTTTAGAAAAGTCCTGCAATTTTAGGTCAGTGGTTCAGTGCCAGAGGTTAGCTTTTCTTATTTTTTACATTTTGAATTATATCTGGAGGATTATTAATTTCAAATTGTGTCCTTAAACCAGATCTTTTTGAACAGTAGGAACTCTCCAACACTTAATTTATAATTCTAGCGAAAGGAATAGAGTATTCACTGGGTTTTATTTGTTTTTGAGGTCCTTGCATTTAATTCATGGATTCGAAATAAATTAACTTATAGATAGTGGCAAGTAAGTAAATTGTAATTTATTCATCATGATTTCTCATTCCTCATTTTCTGGTTACTTAAGGGTTATTAAACGTGTGTACTAGGCCTGGCCAATTTTGTACCTATCCCACTTATAGTACTAATTGGCATTTGACACAAAGGGCCAATAGGTGTTCTTCTCTGATATTGGTACACAGACTACAGGAGCAAACTGTCAGTTTTCTTCTGGGTTTGTGAAGCTGGGACTGCCTCTAGCAGGAGTCAGGCGGTCTGTCTACAGTGGGAGAGAATGAGGCCAGTGAGTAAAGAGAAGCATGAGATAAAGAGATGGATCCGGTAGCATTGAGCCTTTGAGGCCCTACTGCCTGAAGTTCATTCTTTGTTTCTGTGTCCCACCTCAGTATCCTTCTGTGAGCAAGTCAGTTCTGATTTTAAGTTAGCTTGGGTTTCTTTCACTTACAATTGAGAATTCTGACATATCTAATGCTATTACCTATTATTGTTTCTATACTGACTTTCTAAGTATTTAAAGATAGCTTGAACTTTAATCTCAGGATAAACATTTAATATACATAGGTGAACTTGCTTCATATATGAATTAATCTTCAGAATCAATGGAGTGAAAATGAAGTATCTTCCATTTTCAGTGGTCTTGGCTTAAAGCAGTGGTTCTCAACCTACCTAATGCCGCGACCCTTTAATACAGTTCCTCATGTTGTGGTGATCCCCAACCATAAAATTATTTTCGTTGCTACTTCATAACTGTACTTTTGCTACTGTTATGAATCGTAATGGAAATATCTGATATGCAGGATGTATTTTCATTGTTACAAATTGAACATAATTAAAGCATAGTGATTAATCACAAAAACAATATGTAATTATATATGTGTTTTCCGATGGTCTTAGGCGACCCCTGTGAAAGGGTCGTTCGACCCCCAAAGGGGTCTCGACCCACAGGTTGAGAACCGCTGGCTTAAAGGGAAAAGTGTTTATGATAGGTAAAGGATGGATCAATATTCTTTTCTAACCATTTGTACCTATACAGTGTAGAAGTTTCCTTTAAAGAGATGATCACCACAAATCAGTAGAAGGGCAAAGAAATAGTCATATTGTAGTCATAATTTCACTGATTAGTCATAAATATCCTCTTTATATTCTGACAGTGAACCTGTGGTGACCTTATAAAAGGATCAAAAAGAGGGAGGAGGAAAACTGAGTGAAAAGTAGAACAGAGAAGAGGAAGTAAAGAGGTGAGATATATATGGTAAGCTTTATTGAGCCACTAATAATTGTAGGTTCCATGAATTGCCTACATCTGGATTAGATGTACTCCTGAGAAATCAGTTAGTGATAGAGATGAAGAAAAGTCTTAATTTGTTTTCTTTAGGCTGAGGTTAAGGTTGATGTGGTGAATAAGGTATTAGGAGCAGCTTTCTTGTCTTGCTTAAGCTCTTGGCATTATGTTGTCTTACAAAATCTGCTCCCTTATTATTTGACCCTAATTACTTGAGTATGACACATTAGGTGAGAATAAAAAATGAGTACTCAAACTTTCAGGATTGTTGTTTTGGAAGCCTTTGATGAATGGGATTAATGTGTACATGAATTTAAAAATATTCCAGCCCCAGCCCTAGCCCGTTTACCTCAGTGGATAGAGCATCAGCCTACGGACTGAAAGGTCCTGGGTTCAATTCTGGTCAAGGGCACATGCCCGGGCTGCAGACTCAATCCCAGGAGACAGCCAATCAGTGATTCTCTCTCATCATTGATGTTTCTATCTTTCTCTCCCTCTACCTTCCTCTCTCAACTATATATATATATAGTCCAGCCCCAAAGTAAACTTGACCATTGGCAAGAAAGTTGTAAGCCAAATTTGAGATGTCTATGCTACACTACCCAACTTTTAGCCTAATCTGTTTTAGCTGGCTTGCCCTATGTAAGTTGAAACTTCCTTTAAGGCTTTACTATGGGTTAAATGCAGTTCATGGATCTCCATTAAAAAGTGTCTTAATTATACAGATCCTCATGGTAACCTAAAGCATACATTCTGAGTTTAGATTTACAGTAAAATGGTCTATATTCCAAAACATGGTTCCACCAGAAACTAATGGTTTGATGTTGGGCAGGTCATTAACTTCGTAGCTCCCTACTCTATAAGATTTAGGAAAAATATCTTGCCTTACCCAGAGCACATGTGTATATATACCTTTACTTTTTTGCTGCCAAATGGGGGAAAATATCAGCTTAATTGAGGTATAATTTGTACAAAACATAATTCACCCATTTTTAACCATAAAGTTTGAGTTTTTATAAATGTATAAAGTTGTATAACCAACTCCATTTTATCACCCCAGAAAGTCCCTCTTGTCCCTTTGTGATCACTTTCTTTCTTCCATCCCTGCCTCTGGTGGAAACTGATCATGGTAACTATTATTTTGCATTTCCCCCCAGAATGTTATAAAAATGGAATCATACAGTATGTACTATTTTGTTTCTTCTCTCTTTCATTTAGTATAATGCTTTGAGATTGATTCATGTTGTTAAAAGTAGTAGTAGAGCCCTAGCCGGTTTGGCTCAGTGGATAGAGCATCAGCCTGTGGACTGAAGGGTCCTGGGTTCAATTCTGGTCAAGTGCACATGCCTGGGTTGTAGGCTCGATACCTCGTCGGGGCGTGCAGGAGGCAGCCGATCAATGTTTCTCTCTTATCATTGATGTTTCTCTTTCTCCCTCTCCCTTCCTCTCAGAAATTAATAAAAATATATTTTTAAAAAAGTAGTAGATTGTTCTCTTTAATTACTAGTTAGTAGCTGTTATGAACAAAGCTCCTATGAATATATACAGGTCTTTGTATGGGCATGTGTTTTCATTTCTCTTGGTTAAATACTTAGGAGTGGAAATTGCAGGGTTGTATAGTAAATGCGTGCTTGCAACTTTATGAAAAACTGCCGAAGTATTTTTCAAAGTCACTATACCATTTTACATTCCCATTAGCAATGGATGAGAATTCCAGGAGCTCCGCATACTTGTTAAACTTGGTATCGTAGGTCTTTATTAATTTTAGTTATTCTTGTGGGTCTCTAGTATTATGCTAGCATGATTTTATTTTGTGATTTCCAGGTGATTAACGATGATTATCTTTTGATGTGCTTATTGCCATTCATTTATCTTTTTTGGTGAGGTGTCTTTTCACATTTTTTGCCTATTAAAAATTAGTTTTTTTGTTTACCATTGCATGAGTGCTTTTTATATTCTGGATGTGAGTTCTTTATCACAGGTTTCGTAAATCACATGTTTTACAAATATGTTTTTGTAGTTTGTGATTTGCCTTTTCATTTTCTTGATGTATCTTTCAAAGATTGATAATTGAATTTTTATGAAGTCTAAGTTACTGATTTGTTTTTTGTTTTGTAGTTAATGTTTTTTATATTCTATGTAAAGAATCGTCTCTAAACCAAGCTCACTGATATCTTCTTAACATTTTTTTGGAAGTTTCATAGTACTGTGTTTTACATTTAGGTCTGTGAAACAGTCTGTTTAATGAATGAGGTAAGGGTTGAGGTTCATCTTTTTCTGTACAGATATCTAAATTTTCCTATAAGCATTGCTTTAACTGCATCCCTCAAATTGACACATTATGTACTACCATTAAGTACAAAATATTTTCTAATTTCGATTGTCTATTTTAGCTTTGGGTTATTTAGAAGTATGTTGTTTGATTAACAAATATTTAGGGTTGTTTTAGATATCTTGTTAGTGATTTTTTTTTTTTTTTTAAAGAGAGAAAGGAAGCGGTGACGGGAGAGAAGAAGGGGCAGAGAGGGAGAAAGAGAGCAACATCGATGTGAGAAACATTGATGGTTGCCTCCTGTACTTGCTCTGACCAGGGATTGAACCCAAAACCTAGGTATGTGCCCTGACTGGGAACTGAACCTGCCACCTTTTTGATGTATAGGATGGTGCTCCAACCAACTGAGCAACCTGGCTGGGATTTCAAATTTTTTACTTTGAGATTTCTTTTGCAGTGATGCATATCACGGTGACTATATTATGTGTCCTTCAAAAGAATATGTATCCTGCAGGTAGATATCAATTATTGGTTGATAGGAATTATTAGAGTATCTTATATATTTACGTATTTTTTGTTCTGAGTGCTAACATCCCTACAATTGTGGATTCAGTTCTGTCAGCTTTTGCCTCACATATGAAAGGTTCAAATCGGTGGTGCGCAGGCAGGCTAAATAGCCATCTTAGATGGTGATTAAAGAAAAATTTATTTAAGGAAAAGGGGATGGGAGATGGGAATATCCAAAGGGGTCCTTGGAGACAGGTTCAGGGAGTTAGCCGGGACAAGCTGTTGCTGCCCATTGTTCCCCTGGTGGGGTCCCTTAGGGGTTTGGGGATATGTGCCTGTGGGGGAAGGGAAGGGGAAAGGGAAGGGCACCAGAGTGCTCCTTGGAGAGCAGCACACTGAGCGGATGTATCTCTTTCTTGCTGGTGGAAAGCTTAGGGAAGGTCTCGGGGGAGGGTCTTAATAGAATATTCACGCAGAAAGAAGCCTTCTTGGCCCTAACCGGTTTGGCTCAGTGGATAGAGTGTCAGCCTGCGGACTCACGGGTCCCAGGTTCGATTCCGGTCAGGGGCATGTACCTTGGTTGCGGGCACATCCCCAGAAGGGAGTGTGCAGGAGGCAGCTGATCGATGTTTCTCTCTCATCGATGTTTCTAACTCTCTATCCCTCTCCTTTCCTCTCTATAAAAAATCAATAAAATATATTTAAAAAAAAAGAAAAAAAAGAAAGAAAGAAGCCTTCTTGGAGTTTCCCTTATCTTTCAAAAAGCAAAACTTTTGGGAGTGGGGCTGCTATGAATCTCCTCTCCAGGGAAATTTCATGGCCATGAAGAAAAAATATGGATAAGATCACATCTGCATTAAAAATGTTATGAAAAACTTTCAGCCTGGCTGGTGTGGGTCAGTGGTTGAGCATCGACCTATGAACCAGGAGGTCACGGTTTGATTCCTGGTCAGGCCACATGCCCGGGTTGCAGGCTCTATCCCCAGTGTGGGGTGTGCAGGAGGCAGCTGATCAATGATTCTCTCTCCCTCTCCCTTCCTCTCTGAAATCAATAAAAATATATTTTAAACATTATGAAAAACTATCCTGTTTATTCCCCTAGAAACCCATTTACTCCATCAGAGATGAATCTTTTAGAAATGCAAGATTTTGTATGATGCAAGTTTTGAATAAATTAATGTATTACATTTTGCAGACAGCCTTTTGCAGCATCTGTCCTGATTTACATGTTCTAATGATTTATGGAGGGATTTTATGTAAATTAAGAAATGTTTAGCCTTTATAATAGGACTAGAATCCCAATGCACGAAATTCATGCAAGGGGCTTGGCCCTCGCACTCCTGGCTTTGTCCGGAAGGTCATTTGGCTGTCTGGTTTAATTAGCATATTACACTTTTATTATAGATTGTAAACAATACCCTGGATCTACTACTTTACCAGTTGGTCTCTAATGCTTATAATTGATAGCTGGAACTGTTTCAGTGGCCACTGTAACCACAGTATTTTGAGCTTTAAGACATGATGTCACTATTTAATTATGGATTATTCTGTTCTTGTTCTATAATATCCCAACACCTTTATAAAGGATTTTGTATTGGCTTCCCCTAGCTGCTTTTCATTAGAATATGGCAACAATAGGACTAGCCTCTTAAAAGTCTGTTTTAACATTAGAAGTGGAAAGGTGATGCTATGAAGGAGGTATTAAGTTTTCATATATCTGTATATTGCTTAAATAAAAAATTGTGTGGCCAAAGGTATCTCTTATAGTTGGGTCATTGTTTAGGATTACAGAATTCAGTTTTCTTTTCTTAGTGATATTATTCTCTTCTCTATTCCTTGTTATTCAAGGAAAGACCCTTCATGTAATATTTTAAAAATTGTACTGGGATTTGAATTAAAAGTAGCAGCCCATACCTAGCAGACTTTATAATCATAGCATGTAATTTTTATCTAATTTTCACCTACTGAATTGGATATTTTTGTTCACCAGAACCTTTACTTCACTGGAACGAGTCTTCATGTCAAATTTGGCATTATTCAGTAGAGCTAGTATTTAAATATTGACAAAAGATGTCAAATAATTTATTCTTATTTTATTGAATACTACTAGGTAAATGATAGAAGGTTATAAAAATACTAGAGGCTCGATGCATGAAATTCATGCAAGAGTAGGCCCT